AACGGCCCCGGATTTATCGGGAACGGCCTCAGATTTATCGGGAACGTTTTCCACGCGCGTCACCACGAAGATCTTGTGGCCTCTGCCGGGGCTGGAGACGGAAATCCTGCGCTCGGCATTCCCRGAATTCCCGGCATTCCCAGAATTCCCGGATTCCCCGGCCGTTCCCGGCGGGATCCGCTCATCCCGAGGCCTCTCCGGAGCCTCCCTCGAGTCCTTCCCCTCCTCCTCCTCCTCCTCCTCCTCCTCGTCCGTGTCCGAGCTGGAATCTCCGGCCGGAGCCGCGTTCCCGTTTTCCTCCGGAGCGCGGGAAGCGCTCTCGGGATCGGGATCGACGTCGGGATCCACGTTGGGATCGTCGGGATCGGATTCCGGAGGCTCCGTCCCCGAAATCTCCGGCATCGAGGCCGAGAGCCGCAGCTGCTGCTCCTTCTCCTCCTTCTCCTTGGCCAGGATGAAATTGCGTTTGCAGCCGTTCTGGATCTCGGCCAGCAGCGCCTTCTGCGTCTCCAAAAAGCTCTTGACCTGCCGGGAGAAATTCGGGAATGTTGGGAAAATCCCACCGGGAATGTCGGCTGATGTGTTCTGTGTATGTGGCTTTTTTAGTGTTGGCCCTTTAAGAAAAAAGGGTGGGATTTTGGGGTTTTTCTGAAGGTTTGGAAGATTCCAAGAGGAGCTGGAATGGGAATTTGGGGGATTCCCAATCCCAGGGGTTGGATACTGGAGATTCCCAGAATTCCCAGAGCCATTATCCCGCAATTCCTGCTGGAAAGTGAACAAATTCCGAGGATTTGTCCTCAAAAACGGCGTTTTCCCACTGGGGAGGGATCCCACCAAAGTTCCCAAAAGGGTGGGAATACAAAAGGTCGGAGCACTGGGATGAGCTGGAAACCTCCAGAACTCCTGGAACTGGGAATCCCACAAACCCCACAGCTGAATTCCCAGGAAAAAGGACAAATCCATGGAATATCCACCCCTCAACCCCCATTTTTCCCACCCGGAACGAACCCCAAACCACGGCGGCTCCGGCAGCGTTCCCCACATCCCGCATCCCAAAAATCCTTCAAAATCCCCCCGAAATTCCCCCAAATCCCGGGAATTGGGGTCTCACAATCCTTAATTTTCATGAGAATAGCAAATCCCAGAAAAAATCTGGAATATCCACTCCTTAACCTCAATTCTTCCCACCCAGAATGAAGCCCCAAACCATAGCGGCTCCGGGAGCGTTCCCCACATCCCGCATCCCAAAAATCCCTCAAAATGCGCCCGAAATTCCCCGAAACCCCGGGAATTTGGGGTCTCACCGCCTCTTTCTTGGGCTGGCGGTCGAGGTCGAGGCGCAGCAGCGAGCGGTTGACGCGCAGGGCCAGTGACAGCGCCATCATCCCGCCCGTCTTCACCTCGTTCTCCCGCAGGTCCAGGCGCAGCAGCCGCGGGCTCTCGGCGATGAACTCGGCCACCGCCACCGC